ATGGTTTTTTGTTTTTAGATTGGATTGTTGATGGATTGGTATTTTGAAATTGATTCGATGGACATGAATTATACATTAATTGCAAATATTATAAGTATTAAAAAAAATTATTATTACATTTAAAAATTAATTTCTAAAATTGAAATTTTTTCCAATCAATAAAATTTTAGTCACAGTAGGTGTTTGAGAATGTTATAGGAATAACTATTGGTGACCATGGATGTGGTCGCTAAAACATATACTTTCAACGACAAAATAAATGGCCGCGAATTCACACTTCCCGCGACCACATATTGTCATCGCTAAATATGACTATATTCCACGACTAAGTTTATTTTTGTCGTGCAATGATATCTTTCCACGACTAGTTTTTTGGTCGCAAAAGGATCAACTTTCTACAAATTGAAATCCTTTTTGCAACCAAAATATGTGGTTGCAAATGATAACTTTTAGCAACCAACTTCAATTCCGGTCGTCAAAAACCTTCTCTAACGGGCTTTTGGCGACTAAATGGCGACTAGCTTATTTTGGTCGAGAAATACTATTAATGACTACATATGCGTTTTCTATAACCAAAAAGTTGGTCACTAAAAGTGTTATTTCTTATAGTGCCACATTAGTCATCTGTATGGGTTCGACCCATCTTAGCACCTTGTCTGAGTTGGCCATATTGTGATATGTTTGGCCCATGTTTTATGAATTTTGGAGATGATCCATGAGGATTTGGGCTTAGTATGATTGGCTCATGTTGGTTGTTTGGCTCATATGAAATGGTCAATTGGGTATGGGTTTAATAGTTTGGATCGCCCAATGGTTGACCCGCTCCATTTATATTTAACCCCTTCATATATATATATATATATATATTAAAATTTTGATAAGATTCTCCTTCTTCCAAAGTCTCATCTTATGAGGAATTTCCATTGGAATTTTGAAATTGTGAAAGTTTATTCCTATTTATATATGTAATAGAGAGAATCACAAACATTCAAGAAGAACTCAAGAATAATCTGAGGGAGTACTTGAAAATTTAATTTCCTCCAAAATCAAAACTAATGACTCTTTTTCAATTTTTATTTTATCAAATATGACTTCTCTAAATATTATTAGTAAACACCATACAACAATTTTCATTATAATTTTAATACTTATTTTTTTATTATTATTATACATAATATTCTTGTAATGTTAATGTTATATGAGATAATTATAAAGTTGCAGTTCAATTTCGATTGACCTGATGATTCACCTGTCTCTTTTCCAGTTTGTTCAACAATTTAGATTTCTGAACATTGTATGAGACCATAAAATGCCTCTTCCTAGATTAGGTTTGGAAATTTCTTGGCTTCTTCCTCTGTTCTGTGCCTTCATGTATATTTGCTTTTTTTCACATGTATAAGAAGGTTCACATCAACGAGAGTCGTCAAAATGGGCTAAATAACAGTGTCAGCTAATCTAATATTTTTGGTTGTATTTGGATTAAGATTTGGGGATGAATTTATAGAAGGAACCAAAAAAAAAAAAAACAAAAAACAAAAAACAAAAAACAAAAAAACAAAAAAACAAAAAAAAACAAAAAAAAAACAAAAAAGAAGAGAAAATGTGAATAATATATAAATTAAAATTTTTAATTTCTCATTTCTTTCCACAAATTGATCATCAAATTTAAAATTCAAATATAATCTTTAAATAGAGATGCGAACTTAGGATTTATTTACTGAGTAATGATATTGTTTATCTAGGCCCTTTGTCGTTGTTGATGTAATTTGGATAAACTCCTCGCATTTTTGTTTTGCATCAAAGAAAATTCTTTCTTCTGTTGATTAAAAGAAATGTTGTTTGTGGTTTTTAAGCGCTACAATGTAAGGTTCAAATGCAGTTTTGATTCTATGAAAATGTTTCTCAAAAAAAAAAAAAAATCTGCATAAAATTTTCCCAAAATTCTAGAGCCCGCTATGACTTAGGCTTCGTTTACCTATGGTGTAAAGGTCAATTTTTTAGCTAAAAATTTAATAAAAATGTGTCAAACAAGCAATTTTTTAGTTTTTTTTTTTTTTTTTTAGGCTTATTTCCTTTTATCCTCCAATCCATTATTTTTAACTAATAACTTAACTTTTTGCCCAACTCCTAAATGAAGTATTAATCCTTGGATCCAAGTTTCCAATGCACTAGAGCTTTCGTGGTTTTCTTTTCATGAAATACTAGTTTTACTCGTGCTATGCACGGGTTGTATTTATAATTGTTTATATATATTTAAATTATAATTTTTAACTTTTTTTTTTTTGGCATACAGAAAAGTAATATAACAAATGCAGCATATCTTCAATCAATTGTTTTACGTTTTGCTTTTATTCAAAATTTAAAAATAATTTATGTGCAAAATGTATAACTAAATTAAGGAAAAAGTATTTATTTAACTGGTACCAAATATAATTTTTTTAGCAAAAAGGAAAGTTATAAAATTTTGTTACAAATTTTCAAATGTTTATTGCTAAATATTATATTCTACTTACTTGTTTGTTTGCTTGCTTGTTTGTTTTGGGAGTTTTGATTTTTGATTTTTGCTCCACATATTCTTCGTATTGTTTTATTTATTTTTCTTATTCTTGCTTGATTTTTGCACAATACTAATAGTGCATATTAGTGAAAATATCATACACTTAAAATGTATAAAATTACAATATATATATATAATAATAATAAAAAGTATGTAGTTACCCAAAAACTAAAACTACTTTAAAAAAAATAGAAAATAAAAAAAATGAAATTTAAACTCAATTAAATTTTGTAAAATCTTATCTATTCATATACTTTTTGTGTATGTTTTTTGTACTTCTAATCCTGAGAATGACATTGAAATAGTCTGTACTTCTTGCATTAGGTCCATCTAATAGTTTTAGCAAACATAAATGTAATAAATTTCATAACACAAACAATTGTGAGATTAAAAAATAAAAAATAAATAAAAAACAAGAAGAAAAAAACATTCAAATGATGATGTAGAAGCATACCTGACGTTTGAATTGGAGGTATAACTAAATAAATCGCCAAAGAAGGGGAAGACAACCCTTATTTTTCATCACAACAATTACATAACTCAATACATAATTTTAATATTTCTCACTCTTTCACACATCAAATTCTCTATCAATATTAGAATAAATGCATGAACCAAAAACAAGAACATTTGAGAAAACAAAATTCTATTAATTAATAGCTCTTAAGTTTCAATTGTCAGATTTCTAATATTTGTTAGCCATTAAAACTGAGTTATTTGGTTTCATCTATATTCACTTGATAATTTCAAAGTGGACACATGTCAAGCCTATACACAAACACTTGGCACATTTTTTGACCATATATTAATGAAATATGCAGTGTATTTTTTTCTATTTTTTTCACAATTGTAACCTGTCATTTTTTAATAAGAATTTATATTTGTTTTAGATATTTTTTTAATATACAAATTACTTTTTTTTAGATTTTTTATAAAAATAATATAATACTCCCATCACTAACCATGGTGTATGCGAACAGTTGAAAATGGTGCGGTAGTAGGTATAAGAAAAATAAAAAAACTTATAAGTTGGGAGAAGTCAATAAATGCTAAGTTTTTTTTTTTTTAAATCCAAAAATTAAAAAATTAATATTGAAATATTGAAACTTTCACAAGACTTGTGGGTTAAAAACCCACTTTTCCTTATATAACATATAGATTTTAGGGAACTAATATGGAGGTACTTGATGCTTGGTGTGTGTTTACTTTTGAGGAACTAGCTAGTTTTTTAGTTTGGAAAAGAGGAAAGGTGAAACTACCTTCTTTTTTAGTTTGGAAATTATAGTTTTAGAAACTTGGCAAAAGAGCATTTTTAAAATAGAACACTAAAAAATGATACAAACTCAAAAAGAATATTAAAAAAAATTATTCAGAATTTGAATTATGTGGATTATATTCATTCTTGATATGATCCATAACACATTAAGCCTCCGTTTGGGAAGTGGGTTGGCTTTTTAGCTTTTTGGCTTTTTTGGCTATTTTAGCCTGGGCTTAAAAGCTTGGTTTGAGAAGGGCTTTTTGGCTTTTTGGCTTTTTTGAGTTTTTTTGTGAGAGAAGAATGTAATGATTATGGGTTGGATGTGATGTTTTGTTTGTTATGAATAAAAAGCCTATTTTGTTTTTTGTGGCTAAAATAGCCAAAAAAGCCTGCAAACTCACTTGCCAAACACAGGCTAAGTTTAATCTCCATCATATGTTCACTTTCTGGATAAATTTAAAAACAACCAATGTGGATAAGGAAAAGTAAAGAACAACAAAAAGAAAGGGGGAATATTTTCTTTTTGAACGTGAAAGAGGGAATATTGATAAACCTTTTCTAATAGCAATGCATTTTGGCTTCCTCAAACAACTTTACTTTGGTACATCACACTGGAGCCCACTGTGTGTGTTTTGTTGTTAAATCTTTCAACAATTTGTTTAGCGTATCTATCCTTTTTATTACTACTGTGTACCTTGTCAAATTATCAATATGGACAAAAAGTACAATCCCTCTCTCTCAAATCACCACCACCTACCAAAACCACCGGCCCACCCCCTATCATCATGACACCTAGGGGAGGGGAGGAGGCTATGGAGGAGGAGGAGGAGATGGAAGGGATTGACTAGGGAGGGGGCGATGGAGAGTGGGTCAGAAAGGATAGCGATAGTGGGTGGAGACAGTAAGGTTTTTTTTTATTTTGTTTTTTTTTTAATTTTATTTTTTTGATTCAAAGAGACAGTAAGGTTTGAAGTTTGATGGGGAAAGTATTAAGGGAATGAAGGCGTATGAACTGAGCAAAATCAAGATTATATATATATATATATATGTATGAATTGATTAAGAGTGTTAACTAAGAAAAAATTGTGGCATACAAATAAAAACTTTGATGCCCCCCATAGATTCCCAGAACATCCCAAAACATTCCCAACTCACTAAAACAAATGCAATAAATAGACACCTTGCTTTGTGGACGCATGTGGAGGAACAAAGAAACCCTGCACTAGTAAACATGTGCACTTCATTCTGACATTACATAAAACAATTCTTGAAAGGTTTTGATAAAAAAGAGACCACGTATTTTAGAATTTATTAGAAAATAAAAACACCACAACCCCTCTCAAAAAAAAAAAAAAAAAAAAAAAATACAGATATCCATGTGGATCCACCACTAGATTTCCCATATTTTCCTCTCAAATTTCAACTCTACAAACACCTTCCTCCATATCCTGCATTTCTAAACAGTGCCTGCTTTATCTCTTCTGAAGCTATAATTGCTCTCTGCTCCAATCCCTATCATCATCATCAAATAAACCACAACCAAACATTAGTGTTGAAAAAAATATTTTAAAAAATACCCAAAATTTGAAATGTGATTATTAAATTCGTTTTGCGCAATTCTCCAAATATTTTTCTGGGTACATAGTGTTTTCGTATCAAAAATGACATTTAAGCACTAAAAAGTAGGTGAATTAGAGGTAAAGCATATGTAGGTGTTTGTAGTACCTCTGAGCAAGAAGCTTGCATTGCAAAATCATTGAAGCAGCTAATAACACACTGTTGAATCTCAAGGCCTAATGCTTCTAAAGTAGTCACAGTTGATAGCAACAAGCCCGGCTTCCCCCCGCAACAGATCTCAACCCGGGTATCGATATTTCTCCTCTCCACATCAAACTGCAAAGAAAATTAATGCTTTTGAAAACAAAATAGAAATTTGTTTGTTTGTTTGTTTGTTTTTTTTTTTTTTTTTTTTTTTTTTTTTTTTTTTTTTTTAACAAATCATATACCTTGGGTGAATTTCTGACCATGACTTCATTAGGCTTTGCATCCTTGAAAATGCTCACTAAGTCCAACTGATTTGAATTACCCACTTCAATTTCCTCTTGCAAATTGTTGATTCTCTCTAGGAGCTCTTTCATGTAATCTATAGTGTCTCCAAGTATAGATGTCCTATCCATCTGTTACATATCAATTCATTTAAACAAACAAATCTTAGCATAGACTCAATAATTACCTGGTATATATGAGACCAGTTCATCCTAGACACTCTCGTGACCAAAACAAAAAAGGAAAAATAGTCTTACACAAATTGAACAAATTTGAGAATATCGAAATCAATTACCTTGCTGATCTTAGGAACAACTGATCTGAGCATCGAAAGCCGGTCATTTAACCGCTTTCTTCGCCGCCTCTCAGCCATTAGATTCTTTGATGGCTGTCCATCCACTTTCTTGACTTTGTTCTTTCTCTCCTGCATGCCCAAACCCATGTTGAAAGATGGCACTTGGGTTGATTGAACTGTCTCCAAATCCAAATTTTGAAAGGCATTGCCTATTAGGTTTGGTTCTTCATCATCACCTATGATTGGCAGTGAGTAGTCCTCTTGAGTAGGGAATGATGGTGGTGGGGTGTCAAGCTTTGTGTTGGATGAAAATTCGTCTCGAATTGGGCAGTAGAACTCGGAGAGTGAATAGTTTAGGGTTTGATCAAGTGGCAAAGAGAAGTCTTGGTGAAAGGAAGAATTTGGAGGATTGGAAACTAGGGTTTCATTGAAACAATCAGAACTCCAGACATTGTTGGAGAACTCACCCATTGTTCCTTTGGGAATGGTTGGTTCCCAAGAGTCATTTCTTAGAGCTAGTAACTCCTCCAAAAAGCCATTTTCATTGTACTCCATCTCTCTCTCTCTCTCTCTCTCAAAAAAAATAAAAATAAAAAGTTTTGAGAGGGTTGCTAAATTGTAGTACAAGGATATGCCTTAAAAATATGAGGTTTGCACCAAAGTAGAAGAATATATAGGAACACAAATAGGGTGGGCTCCTCTTCATTATAAATGTATCATCAATCAACAATACTATGTATTCAGAAAAATATTTTAAATAGAGTTGACAATTTGAAATATATAGATTAGATTTATTCTAATTGTTATTTATGAAAAATTATTAAGTAATTGTATAATATTGTTTATGTAGTGTTCTTCACAAATAAAAAATCACAGCACATATTAGGTGGGATAATCTCTCATCTCTCACCAACCTAATAAAAATGGGCAACTATGTTCTACTCATTGATTTAAACCAACTTTAAATACACATACATTTGAATTTTGTACAAATTTTTATAAAAGGTCCGGACTGTGTCCAGTTTAGATCTGGGGCAATTTGGTCCAGTTCGGCCTATTGGGCCCACTTTTGGGTCTTTTTTCGATAATTAGAACCGTTCATATTTTAAGATTTGGTGAGTATATTATTCTTGTAAAAAATCGCGTCGATTGGATAACGGATACTATGTATTCAAATCACTTTTGTCTAGAAAAAAATAAACGAATATTAATGGTTTATGAAAAAAGTTATCCGAATGCATAGTATTCATTATCTGATCAACGTAATTTTTTATAGGGATAATATACTCAACAAATCCTAAAATGTGAACGGTTCGGATTATTGAAAAGAGACCCAAAAATGAACCCAATGAATTGAATTAGACCGTTCAGTCCAGATGGTGGACTGAAGGCAAGCCCCAGCCTTTTACAAAACATTACTGTAAATTTATTAAGGCATGTATTAGAGAGTGAAGACTATAACAATAAATGAAATGCTTAGACTGCATTTATTTTGAGAATACTTCTCATTCCAAGAGATACATTTCTTGATACTTTTTGGGATTTTTTTTTTCTTTTGCCTTAAGCCTAATATGGAATCTGCTTTTTACATATATATATATATTTCTCTCTGTTGGTGATTTTTTTTTGTTGTTGTCTTTTTCACCAAAATCTGCAGTATCAAACAGACTTCTACTATTTAATTTGGACTACTCTGAAACTTTGACCCACAATTCTGTCTGAAACGAAAAGGATGGAGTAAGCTATTAATCCCCTCCATTCTATCTCTGAAAACAAACGGGGCCATAAAGTGTTCACTACATCATTGATTTAAACCAACTTTAAATACACATACATTTGAATTTTGTACAAATTTTTATAAAAGGTCCGGACTGTGTCCAATCTAGATCTGGGGCAGTTTGGTCCAGTTCGGCCTATTGGGCCCACTTTTGGGCCTTTTTTTCGATAATTAGAACCGTTCATATTTTAGGGTTTGGTGAGTATATTATTTTTGTAAAAAATCACGTCGATTGGATAACGGATACTATGTATTCAAATCACTTTTGTCTAGAAAAAAATGAACGAATATTAATGGTTTATAAAAAAAAGTTATCCGAATGCATAGTATTCATTATCCGATCAACGTAATTTTTTATAGGGATAATATACTCAACAAATCTTAAAATGTGAACCGTTCGAATTATTAAAAAGAGACCCAAAAGTGAGCTCAATGGACTGAACTGGACCCTTCAGTCCATATGGTGGACTGAAGACAAGCCCCAGCCTTTTACAAAACATTACTGTAAATTTATTAAAGCATGTATTAGAGAGTGAAGACTAAAACAATAAATGAAATGCTTAAGACTACATTTATTTTGAGAATACTTCTCATTCCAAGAGATACATTTCTTGATACTTTTTGGGATTTTTTTTTCTTTTGCCTTAAGCCTAATATGGAATCTGCTTTTTACATATATATATATATTTCTCTCTGTTGGTGATTTTTTTTTGTTGTTGTCTTTTTCACCAAAATCTGCAGTATCAAACAGACTTCTACTATTTAATTTGGACTACTCTGAAACTTTGACCCACAATTCTGTCTGAAACGAAAAGGATGGAGTAAGCTTCATAGACCCTATCCGGTTCCTTGTATGCATCAACTTTGCCATATTAATTTTGCAATCAACAGCAATTACCAAACAATACTCTCTCTCTCTCTCTCTCTCTCTCTCTCTCTCTCACACACACAATGTGAAAAAACAATATCTTAGTTTTGAATACTATCAGGTTGATTATGGTGATTTTGGTCTCTAATCAATTATAATCAGTCATATTGAAAAAATAAAATAAAATCTTATTTTGTCCAAATTTGTTTTTTTTCTTTCTTTCTTTCTTTTTTTTTTTTTTTTTTTTTTAAAAGGAATATATATATATATATATATATAATATAAATTGTCCCTTTTTTTTTCCTTCTTTTTTTTTCTTTTTGATGGAAGCCGGGAAGCCATTTTCCTGGCGATTTTCTAGTGCCTGAATTTTTTTTTTTTTGTTTTCGCGGGGAAATATGCTTTTGATATGATAATTGAGAATTTATTTATGGGTAATGTTAGGGACATCAAATTTTCTACCAAATAAATGACCAAATGTCTCACATGGGTGTGGGGTCCGCAATTTTGTGGGCCCCATGTGAGACATTTGGTCATTTATTTGGTAGAAAATTTGGGACCTTTAGCATTTTTCTTTTTTTTTTCTTCACTCTTCATATGATGTACTAATAATATGTAGAATACTTTTGCGAATTGTTGTTTTTGTTTTGACTAATCTCATTAATTAGTGGAGAAATTGTGTTTTTGTTATGAATACTGTAGTCTAAATATTAGGAATCATTTATTGTGATAAATATTACTGACTATTTTTGTAAAAAAACTATAACATGTTAATGGTTTTTATTACAAAAATGATATAATTATACAGCAAATTGTTAAAAAATTCATGTTAAGAAGGGTATAAGGCATTACGTTTAGTGGATATTTTTTGTTAGTAATTTGTGAAATAATTTTGTGAGAAGTACTTTTATTTGTTTTGAATAATATTTTGTTTCTACTTTTATCTCTTATCTTCAACTCAAATTTTCCTTATCTGTTTAAATATTTGTCCAAATAAAATTTTATTTGTATATTTTTTTTTTTCTATCTATCCAAATTCTATTTGTGTAAATCTTCTATCTGTCCAAATTTTATTTATGTAAATCTTCTATCTATCCAAATTTTATCTGTATAAATTTTCTATCTTTCCAATTTTTTATCAATTCAAAATTTATCTGGACAAATTCACAAGTTTATTATACCTATCTATTCAACTTTTATCTGAACAAAAGTGCATCTGGACAACTTTTGTTCAATTTTTCACAATATCTGTATGAGAAGTGTAGTTTAATTTCTTTTTCTTTTATTTTTCTATTACTTTCTATTATTTTTTCTCTTCTCCCTCTTTGTAATATTTTACTGAAAATTAATAAAATGTTTTTTTTTTTGCTCAAAAAAAAAAAAAAAAAACACCAAAATTCCAAACTACTTAGAAGAAATGATATATAGATGGACTGATAAATTAAGGGATTGTGTATTTTTAAATAATGTTTGTAATATAATTATGGGCACTTGATCTAAAAATCCAAATCTAAATTTTCTTTACCCATATGTCCACACTCAAAAACACTGTCGATAAGGATAAGCACACACAAAATGACCAAACTATCCATATAGTATATATATGACATACAGATAGTGAAATAGTGAAACCAAACCAAACTCTTCTCTCTCTCTATCTCTTTCTCTGCTTCTCCATCGCTCCTCCGTCGATGCTCTTCCGCCCTCCCCTGCTGCTCCAGCCATGAGATCCAGATCCATGGCTTCTCTGAATCAAGATCTCAAGATCAGTGACGTGTTTGTCTCCGATCACCAGAGACTATTTATCCACTGAGTGTTTCTTTGTATACTTACTCATTGTATGTAAAAAAAACCTAGCCACATTTTCCTTCATTCTTTTTCTCTTACTGGTCGCCCTCTCGTAACTCAAGCTTCCTTTTCTAATCCATCAATGGTTGAAGTCGATAGCTCAAAACCTCAAACCCTATCTAAGGTAATATATGTATATATATATGTACATTTATTGTGTAATCATTTTCAACACTTAGGATTGTATTACCAATTCAATCTACATCACTTCTCTACTCTATTTATATAATTTGGGTCGTTCTCATTTCTCTGCTCCAGCTTCTCTCAAGATCTTCATTGTCATTTCTCATGATCTACACTAGTTGAGTTCTAATTTTATATAGTTTCAGATCTAGTTAGTGTAGTCTCAGATCTAGTTGTAGAAGAAGATGATAATGATGATGAGTGGTGTATATGAGTGTGTGTCTGCGAATGATGTATCTGTTTATATATATATATATATATTGTGATTGTTATTATTGTTGATGTTCATGATAATAATGATGATGATGATGAAACAGATTTAAAAAAATTGACAGATAGAATAGATTTGTTCAAATTTTTAACATTATCTGTTCAAAATTTGAATAGTTAATAAAATTTTAAATAGATAGGACAAATTTGTTTTGGATAGATAATAAGATTTAAACATATAATATTATAAATCTTTTCAAAATTTGAACACATAGGGGTTTGGTATTGAGAAAAGGCACAGTATATGCACAGATATTATAATTTTTTTTTAAAGTTATGATTTGTTTGAAGCAGTATTATCTAATCAAATTTTAAACAGATAATGTTCAAAATTTAAACAAATCTATTCTATCTGTTAATTTTTTTTTAATCTATTTCATCAGCATTATCATCATAAACATCAACAATAATAACAATCACAATATATATATATATATATATATAGATACATCATTCGCAGAAAACGCATACTCACATATACCACTCATCATCAGTATCATAATCTTCTACAACTAGATCTGAGACTACACAAACCAGATTTGAGACTATATAAAATTAGAACTCAACTAGTGTAGATCTTGACAAACGACAATGAAGATCTTGAGAGAAGCTGGAGCAGAGAAGTGAGAACAGCCCAAATCATACAAACAGAGTAGAGAAACGATATAGAT